CTCCCCACCCCCCCATTTATTTCTATCTCTCTTCCTATCTCTTTTGTAAGGGCAATTACTTAATCAAAACCGAAACAGACCATAAAAAAATCTGCCATTAACGCAACGCCTGGACGACCGCCCAATCAACATCTCTAATTCCTATTTCTCTTATAAGACCAATTAACTTCCTTCACTGGAATGATACTCTTGCAGCACCTCACGAATAGAAACTTGTTGCAATATTTTCCGACGATACTCCTCAAAAGTTCTGAATCGACCCTTTCTTTGTCGATTGTAATCGAGACGAATTGCAGCATCCACAGATCTCCAAGTGTTCATGCTCGTATTCAATTCCGCTGTTGATTCCACAATATCTTGCACCCTGTGAGAACTGTCAAGATAGGACAGATGTGCAAGTGTCTTTTTGGGACCAATAGACTCAAGAGAGTCATAGACGGCAATGTTAAATTTAAAAGAACTTGGTTGTTCCAAGGGTCCTGTATGGACATAAAGATGGTCTGTTGATGACGTAATAGCGGGCACAACACAACAGACAGGAGACGGAGTAGCTGTAGCGGCCGACAAAGCAGAAACAACAACGGAAGTAGTGACAATCGGCGTTGACATATTGGATGATGAAGCATAATCTGCAAGACGTTGAAAATTTGGAGGAGATGCTGCTTGAAGGGGGAGTCTACGGACCGGAACGCAATGAGTAGTAGAAGAAGCAACCACGGGAGGAATCCTTTTGAGAAGCTGCTGTATCCGTGCATATCTATGAAAGGGTTGGGGAATGAGCCCTTCTGTCAGACAATGTGGCAAATCAAATGTCATCCTACTAATCTCCTCATTAGAGAGAGCAATATACTCATCGGTCAAAAGTGAATTCAGCATGGAAGAAACCTCCAAATCCGAAACATTCAACGGGTTTGAAGGAAGAGCCTCAAGGGATTTTCGTTGCAACCGCATATTAGTGAGTTTGTTTCTTTTGCACTCGAGAAAATTTTCCCATATTCGTTCATCTTTTACGACTGTGACACTTTTGACAAACATTTCAAAAAGCAGATCAGTCAAGACGTTTTGTATGCCAACCTTCTTCGCATCCTCGAACCATTTCCCAAGGTAAGCACGCGGATTCGGAGCATGGATTGCGGGTTCCTGCTTATCGTCGGACACCACAATAACACCCGCACGATTTTGCGGTTGCAATGTGGCACAAACATCTTTTTCGCGTTCACTGCGTTGAGATTGCGAACGCGAATCATGAACACGTGCACGTCCAGCGAGCGGTGCACAAAATTCAAGAGATGCAAGTGCCTCGGCAAGGAACTGATTTATCGCTCTTAAAATTTGAGTTCCCGTTTCATGAGCAACTGGTTGCCGTTCCACCCGATTATTATTGAGTGTAGGCTTGAAAACTCGGGGCGAATCCAAAACATTAGTTTTTGCATGACGGCTCTTTTTTCTCACCAATGTAGATTCAACCAAGTCTCCTTTCGAATCATCGGTCGTTATCATTCTCGAGATCGTGAAATGTAAGGTTAATAGGCCTACCCGACTAACCTCTTCGAGAACCATCCCCATCAACACGACAATTGTCAGCATCCCCCTCCACAACCATTTTCTCAGCATCATCAAGGGTATTCTGTTGAGAACGTTCACGTTCAACCTCACGCAAAACAGGATGATCATCCCGAGGATGTTCACTTCCAAGATTTACCTACATCTCATCATTCCCACTTTTCTTCGACTTCTCCGAATGTTCGGCTCCAGCTTTCGACGTAATATTCGTATCATACTGAGTGGTATTGCTGGTTGCCATTGCTTTCCTCTTAGTACGAGTGTCGTACTTATGCGGCATTCGGGAGTCGCCTGCAAAGAAAGAATATGATCGAATTATTTGGAATGCCAAGGGTCGCACGTGATATCGTTTGTCCTTGCGACTTGTTAATCGTTACAGCAAAAGCAAGACAGACTGGAAATTGCCTCCTAAACCATTTGAACCCAGTAGTGTCACCATCGCTTGTCAGATCAATCTCGGGGATTAGTGTTGTTTTACGCGTGTTCATTATTGTCACTTCCAAGAAATCATCATTAACGATCTTTTTCAGAATCAGCCTTGTGCCATTGCAAAGTCCTTGCTTCGGTGACAAATTTCGCAAAAGCATCAGAGATGCACCAATTTTTAAGCGCAGCTCGTGAGGTAGAAGGTCAGATTTATCGAGAGAGTTTAAAAACTCCCGCGCAATACCAAACCTGGTATCATCTGAATCAGGATAATCAACACTGAAAAGTTCACGCACCTCCCCAGGGAAGTTGTCAAGAACACGATTGTTAATAGAACCGGCATCGTCATTAGTAGGGCATAGAATTAATCAACCGTACAAATCTCACGTGGCAATCTGACCGCAGCAGGTTCATTAGGAACAACACGAGGATGGTCTCCATTCCCAATACCCATAAAAAAGTGGCTATACATTCGTGTCATTTCGTTATCCCCTAAGCTTAAGATTCGAAAAATTATAGTCAGTTGATGAATTTTAAAAAGTTTCCACAAAGGAGACATTTTCATGGACGCATCAATCTGTTGGGCTCGCGATCCATGTTTCACAACGGGTAAAACCTGTCTAAAATCCCCAGCGAGAAGTAGAACTTTCCCACCAAACGGCTCGTCATTGTTACAGAGGTCCCGAAGCGTAATGTCAAGAGCTTCCAAGTGAAACTTGTTACTCATCGGAGCCTCGTCCCAAACAATCAAGTCGGCACATCGGATAAGTTCTGCAAGATCACTTTGTTTTGCAATCAAGAAGGGACGCGTGTTATGAGGTTTCAAATGTGCGTGAAATCGGGAGTGAAATGTGCGACCCCCCGTTAAAAGAGTCGTCGCTATGCCACTGGACGCGACGGCGAGTGCAATAGCAGAACGGGACCTCATGCCCGCCAAAATAGTTTCAATGCAAAAAGTTTTTCCTGTTCCAGCCGGTGCATCGACAAAAGCACGCAACGGTTTTTTCTCTTGCACAGCCCGAACGACTCTTTCCACCAACACTCGTGGACGTTAGAATCATATTTGCGTTGCATTTGAATCGGATCATACGATAACTCGTCGTTTAGAATCGAGAATACAGTTCTGTTCTCGTAATGTCTGGTTATATTCTCCGCAATTGTTTCCCCGTCGGGTGTTGGATAATAAAGGCAGAACTGACCGATGTTTTTTCCAGACTCCTGTAAAATACGGTCAAGATGGAATAACACCAAAGATTGCAAAATGTTCGGGGGAACAATTTCATTCCCCGCACGATATTGAAAATCATCACACATCTTATCCCAATGTCGTTAAAAAAAACGGACCTGATCGTTCACAGGACCAAACGCGAGAACCATAACAAATATTTTACGAACTTCTTTAGGCATGTAATGCGCCGCGGCTGTGTCGATGCATTGATCGTATGCATCGTCTGTTTGCAAAAGACCTAATCGAACACACACGGATCTGAAAGAATTGTATTCGACTCCGTCCACCGTACGAATTTCGGCAAAAGAGCGCACCCCACGAGAATGTTCATAATTTAACAACACACGCAAATAGAATCGTTCCCCTTCGGTGATCCTCACGTGATGCAACCGAGATATCTTCTCGAAGGGACCACCGTGCAGATCACGCTTTCTTCGGTTCCACTTCTTATATTTGTTATCCCATACACGAGTATTAATTATTTATGCGTAAAGAGGAAGCTCCTCTTTAGGAACACCTTCATTCAAAGAGTTGTGTTCCATCCATGCCATCAATTTCGTTTTCGGGGGTTCATGCGAAACAACGTTATGCTCAGTGCCAGGTTCGAATTGTACTTTTTGCATGTTTTCGAAATGCACGGGCAATCTTTCCACCGCGGGCTACTGTTCCGCAACATCAAACTCAAATAGACGCCAGCATGCTTCGCATGCACCCACAACATGCGTATCTTGATACAATTTAATTTCATCGCGGGGCACATTATTATCCCGCTCGCAAACCATAGCACGATCGCACGCTTTGTACACGTACTTATACACGTACTTGCACGCCTTGATGTTAGCACAATATACAACATTCAAGTGGCAATTAAACCTCATTAGCAAGTACGGGTTATACGGGACCACACGGCAATTGTCGTAAACGACACCATTTTGAACAATCGTAAAACCATCGTCACTTGGTTCCTTCTCCTATACGAAGGGTACGTTTGTTCGTCTTTGAATCTCGTTGTGGAAATGAAGTCTTTCGGAAACCCTTTTGTGCATTCTCCATCCTCCGTACACGAAGCATCGCGTTTCTCCGCACCACAAATCCCATTAACATGAACTTGGCTACCTTTTCTCTCAATTCCCCTTCCGGAGGAATCTCGGCACACACCACATTGTCAACAGCATCCGCATCCCGAGTTTTATCATCCGGATGCAGAATAACCAATATATTTGCGTGTGGTAGACCCCTTTTCTGAAACTCCACCACATATAACATTTCACTCACCCTACCAAAGATCCGTTTGTTCTTTATCTCATCACTCAGCAATGCAAGATAACCTTTGAACACTCGCGTGAGAAAATCCGGTCTGTCGTTAGGACATTGACTTGGCAATAGGGCTTGTTTGATCTCCGGCCAGTTAGTGTTGCACGTCATAGTGATGAAAAAATTCGGTTTTTCGAATCGTCTCACAATTGCCATGCTGTCATGATATCTTTCACTCATATATCGGGGCCCTCCAGTGAAAGTTGACGGTAAAACCACTTTTGTCCCAATATCGTCACCACGTTGATTTTGTTGCACGACGTCTCGTAAATCCTGATAATACTCTGAGCGTAATTCTTTTTTATGGAATCTCACCCATTTTAAACGGAGGGATTGAACTTTAGCGTACACCATGTAACAAAACTCGTGGAAGAGACGTGCTGCATAAAGGAGGCAAGGTCTTTCACCATCGCGCTCGTGAAGATGAAATGCATAGTACTTATTGGCACTAAGTCATGGCGGCCATCCAGCCTCCGAGGCATGTCGGACAGACCAACTATCAATTCCCTCCGGAAAAAGTAAAACAAACCTTAAGCAATTGTGCACTCGAGAACATTCAGGAACCACAACTGCCTGCACTCACCAGGAAGAGGAGCACACAAACGAATCTCCAGCTCACGAGGAAGTAGTTCATCGGCCATCAGAACACACACCTCATGTAGACCCATAGGACGGTTATAACGCCTTGCATGTTCCTCCTCAGGCATGGCATCCGGATTTATGACCAACTTCCTCCCATTCAATTTGAAGGCTTCCTGCGGAAGGTCAGCAACCGTCATAAAGTCCTTCATGTAATTGTTACATTGTTGTAGCAATTCATGAAACCTTCTCAATATTCGTTTCGCTCGATCAAGTTCGGCATCGGGTGTACGTGCAGGTAAGTTAAGAAAATCCACTCTTTGATCAATCGCATCGTTCAAACGTTGAGGATCGTGCAAGTATAGTTGCGCAAACTGAGGACGTTCTCCTTCCCCGACAGCAAATGCACCGATACGATGAAAGATTGGACCTTGAGCCCGAAGTTGGCACTGAAATCCTTGAATACCATCACTCGGCTACTTCAACCGCGAGGATGCGAGGGATAAACTATTATTAATTATCCTCGCATTGTTTCGAAGGAATCGGCCGTCGGAACTTTGAGATGTCCAAAGGGAAAGAATCTCATGCTCCGGCAAGCCTTCGCAAGGCCATTCCCATAATGGACAACGTTTTGTACATTTTCGGCAACACATCTTTGTCCATTTTGTTTCATGATGCCACAATTTAGCACCGCAATGCTTACATGGATCTCGACTGCCAATGCCGAATGGTTCAACAGTGCTACCATTCGCAAAAATCGCTACACTATTTTCAAGCGCCGCATACGTTGTTGCTACGAATGCCGATGGCAGTGCATTAAGATTAGGAGCGAGAACATCATGCAAATCGTTCATTTCTTCATCACGACTATTTGGTTCATTGTCTTTATGATTGTTCATTGGATTTCGATTTCTCACGGACAGATTTTGCAATTGCCTTGCTCGCGATAACAGACTCCACGAGTGTCTTGCCCGGGAAGATTGACTCCGCGATTGTCTCGCAGGAGAAGATGCATTCCTCGATTGCGCAGAGGCGCTGACTCGAATCTCTCGAAGGATATTCACAGCGAACAAACTTCGCCTCACACGCTGTACAAAATTTTTATGAGCACGCACATCTTCTTTCCTCCTATGATTCTTAAGCGCAGCTCTCAATGCACGCATATGTTTAACATGAACGTTTGATCGTCTTCCCTGCTGTTTCCTTCATTTTGAAATTATACGCGACATAGAACATGGTTTGTTCACATTCATTTTATCGACTTACTCCATTCGTTCACCAGCCTTTACAGTACTTTCAACAACCATTGCACTTGCATCATAGCCCGATGACACATGGTGAGGCATCGATAACAACGATTCAAGTTCCAAACGACGCACGACTTTATTTGCACGAAGCTGTCGAATTAATAACATACGGTACCGTCGGTTACGCCTTGAACGAATTTTCCATAGTAATAATATTTTCCGTCGATTATGAAATCCAACAAACTTTCTAATGAACGTGTTCGGCGAATTCGGCAGGGTCGTGGCAGCAGAAGATGAATTTGCATGAACATCCGTCAAGGAAGGACAAACATTACTCTCCATAAAATTTTGTGGCACATCGGCAGTCAATGTGGATGATGAACAATTGTGCACATGTACCGAGTGCGAGGGAAAATTATCGAGTGAAACGGATTTTTCGACAATCGAAACAGAATTTGCATTTATTGCAACATCCGTACGGATTTCAAGTGGACGTTCACTTTGCAAGGCCATAGAGAGATTTCTATGACAACTAATGCGATCCGTACCAACATTATTATCTCCTCGACTCATTCTGTTGAAAAATACGGGGCTTGTGAAATCATTCATCGCTGAAATTGATTGTCGAAAAGATAGAGACTTATCACTACATTGTTCTTCATTAGAACAATCAAGAGTATAATCTTGACTTACCACCGGTTGTTTATCTCTACTGCGAGCAGTTGACTCATCTACAGCACCTACCGCCTGTAATAAAGACCTCCGGGTTCGACGACTTTGGGAAGGTGGTCGTCCGCGTTTGCGATGTTCGTGTTGTGATGGCATTGTCGTCTCACTCATAGAGCGACACGGAGTAATATCCGAACCTATACGTAATCCCAATCCATGATTGGATGAGGAGGAAGGGCCCTCAAATGGTGACAAATCGACTTCACCTGGAACAATGGAAGGACACCGAGCACATTCTGATATTATCGGCGAGGACACCAAAGGATCATTAACAACCCTTTCAAAAGGCCGCCGGCGTTTGCGACGCTTCCACGGAACATGCGAAAACCTATCCGCAGGTGAAGAGAATGTTCAAATGGTGGATAGATTACTATTGGTTGAAGTATCACATGACTCTTGGTCCTCTGCCAAATTAATGGGCACGTACGTACGTATTTGTACATGGGAACGTCACGGTGGATAGGAGGAGTAAGATGCATATAGACAACCGAAACGAAAATAATACAGCTAAAAACATCTATATATAGATGTAATTATATGAAGAAGACTAATATAGTATGTAGTATCAGGTAGAAAAGAGAAAAAAAAAGAAAAACAAAGAAGACACAGTGAAACACAAAGAACGCAACAAAAATGCAAAGCACAAACGAAAAAAAAAAAAAAAAGTCAGTTCGTTTTTTTTTCTTTCAACGCGTCTATCGAGGTTAATCAATGTTAACTTACATCGAAATTTATTCGTACAGGAACACTTTCATGTTCAGGTGCGCTTTCATGTTCTTCCAAATGTTTGATCGGGACCGGAACTTTTTTGAACTTCTATTGAGGTTAATTAACATTCCTCCTATTTTTTTCATATGTCTCATTCGTTTGTTATGTTCGATTTATGATCCTATACGCCCCTTAGTCTTTTTAGGGCCCCATGCAATAGAGTCATACGTACCTCGTCTATCCACGCTTGCCCTTTGCCATTCTCCGACGAGGCTCACTTTCCTGTTCAGATAAATTTGTCACTGGGATCGGAACTTCTTTTGGCTCCAATCCATCGTAATCGAGGCGGCTCCTACTTGCGACTCGCCTTAGGTATCCTAAGTCAGTCATCCGTCCACAAAAGATTTGAAAAAGGTAACGTGTCTTCACCGACCTTTCCGAGCCCCGATCGCTAGGAAGTAGTCCGTAGTATCCATTCTCCTCGCCTGAGCACGAGGCCCAGATCTCAGAAGTAGGCGTTGGCTCCACCGCAACAACATTGCACCACCCCCATAAATGGGTCTATGCGGCGTACCACACCTCCCCCCAGCTAGCCTCGAAGGTCGTGGATCCAGGAAGAGTCATTCCTAGCGATTGAGGTCGGGCAAACCGTTGATGGCCTCACCTTTCTTCTCCTCTTTTGCTTGGGCGACTTTGATGAAATAGGAGCAAAGGGGGTAGAGAACAGGACTTTTTGGAACAGGTCTAGGCGAGAGGAGGTCATTCGGGATAGCATGGGTGTTTTGGGAAAAGACTACATTCATTGCCATTTTTATTCTTTCTTATCGGATTGGTTCCTTCTTCAATATTCATTCGAAATACATGGTGTAACCCAACCCGACCAATAACACTTAATTTGCTTCATATGAGTGTTTGAGTACTTTCAGCAGCCCATGTAGACCAATCATACGTACCTTGATTATTCTTGAGCATCCTTTGCTTTCCTTCAATAACGTTTACTGGAAGGCGGTCTAAGTTTATTGTTGTTTTTTAATCTTACTATCGAGACTCTTCCTTTCTAATTATTCATAAAATTCATACTATAATATCACAGAACATTTAAGCCTACATTTCTTTTTTCCAAACTTCTTACTCATCTCAACCGGTTTTGAACATTATTTCATGTCTATATTTTAAGGGATACTCACCTGATTGTTTTTTTAAAATAAGCAGAACAGTATAAGAACGAACACACAAAACCATACAATATTGACAAAGAAAATTCAACAAATGTTAGCAACTAAGCATTATTTTCTTCCCATTCCATGAATAGTTCTCAAAAAAAAAAATGCAAAAAAAAAAAAAAAAAAACGGATTAAATAAGAGAAACACAAAGAGGGATAGAGAGACGACTTAAATAAGATACAAAGAGCAAGAAAGAGAGATAAAAACATAAACATGAACGACTTAAATAAGAGTCAAAGATAGATAGATAGAGAGATAGACAGATAGATAGATAGATAGATAGAGAGAGAGGACTTAAATAAGAAAGAAAGAGAGAGAGAGAGAGAGAGAGAGAGAGAGAGAGACAGAGAGACAGAGAGAGAGAGAGAGAAAGAGAAAGAGAGACAGAGAGACATGATTTAAATAAAGAAAAAAAAACAAAAAATTGAAAAGTTCAATGTCGAATGGTGGAAAAAAAAAAAAAACTTTCAAATCCAGATACAAAGATAGAAAGAAAAAAAAAAATAGGGACAAATAGGTAGGAAAAAAAAAAATGGAGAATCTGATTCAGAGGAAGAGTAAGCGACAAAGACAATAAAGTCAAATTTAACTGTTTTATTGCAAAATTTTTCAAATATCATTACCCATCCTACTTGAATCGGAACATTCTTGTTGCTACCATACTCCACGTCACCCACCCTACTTCAACCGCTCATTTTACTTCTTTTAGTCTAACATAATCCACTTCCTATTTAATAGCAAACACAAATTTCACTACATATCTACATCATCATTTTCACGAAGTCGCCTCCTCCTCTCTTTCATTGCGAACAACTCCTGCTCACTAAGAATGATATCCGCATCAGGATAAAGGTCCGTCGCATTGTCAGACGTAGGTCTAACGACCGTCAAATCATTAACCTTTTTATAATCCCTCCTCGTCATATAGCTAAACCAGTGACACGAAGGACATTGACACCTCAGTGTTTCTATCAAGGCGAGCACCATTTCCTGCAATCTTGTCTCATGTTTCATGTTGATGCTCGCCAGAGCATTCAACTCTTTTTTAACATTCGCCATCTCCTTCATAAACCTCGTTGGCGAATGAGCAGTAACGACATTCCCCAACAAAACTCTCAAAGTGTATAATTGTTCTTTGTAACCTCTGACCATGACAGTTGTGAGTCCCTCCTCACATAGCTCGGCAAAATTTTGCCTGAATATAGAATTCATTAACTCTCCATGTGTCTCCTTGTACAAATGCCCAAGCGCAATCATTGTTCCCCTCAACTGATTATCACTCACCGGAAACTTCATCGCACTTTGCACCTCCAACAATGCATTCCTATGCACCAGCTCCACACCGACAATCCGTAATGATTCTAACATAACAATCAAACGCGTTTTCGGAAGCTCCTCCAAAGTTCCAGTCGATGGAATCTCAAACAGGTCTGAGGCAAAAGAAGGATCAATTGACGGCAAGACACCCATTAACAATATATTTCTTATCCCACTTTCCGCTTTTTCTAATCGGTCACGCAAATGCTGAACCTCTTGTGGAAAATGCGGGTTAACTCTCGTACTAAGCTTACAAACATTGTCCAACAATTCGTTTATAATAGAAGATTGAATTAACTCCTTAAACTCTCTGTCCATCTGCTCGGCAGCATCCACCTCCTTCTTCAAAACGCAATCACTGGATACAGCGGAATCTCTTACCTCTTCACTTCGATTTGTTTCAATGAAACTATCGACCACTGCCTGTGCATTCAACTCAACTTTCTGAAATGCATTTTGCAATGTAATCACTTCCTCCTCCTTCTGTTTCAACATTCCGAGCAACTCATCCTGAGTCCATCGAAGACCCTCATTGTCTGTCAGGTAGCGGCCACACATCTCCTTCAACGCAAAGTCACTCGGAAGCTTACCTTCGACATTGTACTGCATTTTAGGCTGCTTTACATGGAGACGTTGTTCTCTCTCATAAATTTCATTCCCCTGGCTATAGTTGTACCATTCCTGACATTTTGCAAGGTACCTATCTTTCAGGTGATCTTTGATCAAAGGATGGTCGAATGCATCATCATATCCGGTCACTTCCCCAGCAGACCGCGATGATCCTTCCACCCCCCTTTCGGCATCTCGGTTGACCAATGCATTGGTTTCACCAGACACTTGTCTGTCTGCAGAGAGCACAAAGAAAAAGCAACGAATATACCAATAAAAAAATGAGATGGTAATCTAAACTCTAGTAGACTCTAATACCGAACGTGATATATGAAACACTACTGTTTAAGGTATGAAATGAAAAATTGATAAACCAATTGATCGAATTGATTGATTCATGCACTCACAGACACATACACACCCATATAGATTGATATAAACATGAACAGAAAGAGAGAGAGAGAGAGAGAGAGAGAGAGAGAGAGAGAGAGAGAGACAGAGACAGAGAGAGAGAGGAAAAAAAAAGGCTCCCAGCCTGCACTCGGGCCTGGTCAGTTGGTTACCCCCCACCCTCTGGGCGTCTGAGTGCTACTGAGTCTCTGTACATTTGTGTGCTGCCTGAGTCTGTGTATATTTTCACTCATAAATTTTCTGTTGTTGTCTGTGTATATCCGTGTGCTACTAAGTCTGTGTACATTTGTGTCCTCCCTAAGTCTCCCTGTATGCGTATGTCTATGTGCTATCTGAGTCTGTCTGTCCGTGTATGTCTGTGTGCTGCCTGAGTGTTGTCTATCTGTCTGTCGGTGTATGCCTGTGTGCTGCTTGTGCCTACCTGTTTATGTATGTCTGTGTGTTGCCTGAGTCTGCTTATCTGTGTGTTACCCGAGTCTGCATGTTTGTGTGTCTGAGTCTGCCTCTCTGTGTATTCCCTGAGTCTGCTTGTGTTTGTGCATGTTGTCTTTATGTCTAAGTGTGCTTGTCTATGTTCTACCTAAGTCTGCCTGTCTGTGTGTATAAGTGTCCTATTTGTGTGCCTGTCTATGTTTGGGTAACGTCCGTGTGTGTGCTTGTGTTCTTGTTTGTGTCCTGTCTGCATGTGTGTTGTCTGTGTGTCTTTGTGCTCTTTGTGTTCCTGCCTGTCTATTGTTTGTTTGTGTGTTGTCTGTGTATTGTCTGTCTGTCTGTCCGCTGTTTGTCTGTGTGCTATGTCTATCTCTGTTCCTGTCTCTATGTGTGTTGTCTGTCTGTTGTCTGTGTGTTGTCTGTCTGCGTTTTGTGTCCGTCATGAGTGTCTGAGTCTATCTATCCGAGTCTGTCTGAGTCTGAGTCTGTCAGTGTGTCTAAGGTCCTGGTCCAACCGGCCAATGGCTGCAAAAAGGAAGAAAAAGTGTACACCCAGGTAAACCTAAGAACATGGACAGGTTCAACCTCAGGTCCTGATGCAAGCTTACATCGTGCGAAATAAAACGGAAAAAACAAATTAAAAATTGTCAAGCCCTCCACATGGCCCCACGCCGTTTAGGCCCACCTCTGGGCCCAACATGCAAGAATCGGTCCTATTATGCGCCTTGTCCTAGGTCCTGCTCCGGTCCCGATGTTTTCATGCGCCCTGACACCACGTAAGACTTCCACCTGGTTCTGAAAGGAAAAAAAAAAAA